TTACAGTGTCGGCCTGATTTGATGTTGGGCCCGTTCCACTTGCCACTGGTCGCTCCAATGATTCATAGAGCCTCTTCTGATCACTTTGGAAGAGACGATTCTGGTTGAACCGAGTCGACCTCTCGGTATATCGCCGAATCCGCTTTCCCCGAGCAGCGATTCTCTGCTTTAGATCATCTATGCGCTCCGTCAGTTTTTGCATTATATCCGGCTGGGACAAACTGACATTTGTCCCAGCAAATGCCATCCTGACGGTGCGCACTATTCTTGGCCTGTTATTGCCCGATCTGAAGCATATCACTCCGCCGATGAGAGCTCTAGCCTTTGTGATACGCTCCTCAATTCTTCTTCTCCATGCTGGTATAGCGCTACTTTGGCCAGTAGCCTTGGAAACCTTGGCGCCTATGATACGGCAGACTGGCAGCGCGACGTCAAAAAGAATTGAGTCCGTATCGCAAAGGTCCCGGCTGGCTTCCAAATAGATCACCAGCATTGGGTTCAGAGCCCTCACGACAGCTCGATTCCGCTTGCTTAGGGATATGCGGGAAAGTCGCGGTCGATTTTCGAGAGACGTACTGCGCGTTTTCATAATCGCCTCTTCTAATGTACTCCTCATTTGCTCTATTTCTAGTTCCTGGGCAAATGTTCCATCATCATTTGAATCTGCCACCACTGGAGTTTTCACGGCGGTATCCACGTGTGCGGGTTGTTCTGCAACTTGTGGCACCACATCCTCAGCCGTAGCATTTTCATTTGATGAGGGAACAGCCTCACGTCGTAGCCGTTGGAGTTCGGCGTCATCAAATGTATTTGAGCGCAAGATATACCGAACTCGGTCTGCCAGGTTTTGCTCGGTGACGGTTACAGATGGCTCCAGCTTAGCAAAAAGTTGATGCATCCTTACCCGATACCTCCAATTTCTCCCACTATCGCCCTATAATACGCCCGCAATTCGTTGCTGTTCATTGAGATTGTCCAACGCATGCCGCGTATTCCAACAGTGGCGGGTGCCGTTTGCTGGGCCCGCGAAGACCCTGCCGTCACCAAGCCTGTTGGTGGGGATGATGGATGCGAGGGGCTACGAGGTGTACGAGCAGCACCTCGCGCTCGGCTGGCGGTTCGCATGCTGTGTGCACGACCTCCAAGCAGCGGCCCTTTGCGCGTTCTATCAAATTTCATCATCCATTTTAATGGGCGTCATTCAACGGGAGACGCCCAGACCCGGCGCCGTTTCATGGTGAGGCCATGTGCACAAGCGGGCCTTTGCACCTTCAACTTATGCCGAGGCACGGCACTAACACCTCTTGGCAAGGTGCTGACTGACTGCGCTCACGTAGTGATTTTGTCACGTAACCGTTACATCAGCGGGCGATGGGGTCATCACTTCCCTACGCCTTTTTATTATTAATGATGATGATGACAATGATGAGGAATTTATAGCAAAACTTTTGTAGATGTTACTTGGAGAGTTTTTGTTTTTCTTCTTTCCTTGTAAGAACTTGCTAGTAACGTATTATAGTTCTACCTCATTATGTGGTCGCACGTCGCACTTTGGCTGCCATCAACATTCGACGTATGAACAAGTACTGCTGATGTTCTTATTTGCTTAGGTTTTCTATTAATGAGTTTTGACTTTTAATGTGGTTTTACCCTACCATACCGGGTCCTGACATAACTGTAGCCGTAGTAGGTCAAGAGCTAAGCACTTCAGCATAGTACGCGAGCAGCCCGGATTCGATCCCTGCTGGCATCAACGACATTATTAATTGCAATATTAAAGTACCGATTTACTACGTTCTTTACTCTCTACGGTGAAGGAAAACATCGTGAAGAAACCTACATCACTGAAAAATAAATAAATAAATATATTCTAATGTTCATTAAGTACACCTACCTACACGCGGAATATTTCTTTGCTCTAAAACTTTCTCGTAATTGCGAGGAGGCATTTGCGCAACAAATATTTAAAGTTTACAAACCTTAACTAACTGGTATAACAACTCATTTATTTTATACGTGTTAGAGCCATGCTACAGCTATACGAGTATTAGTATAGTTGTAGCTCTAATGGGTCGACTTGATTGGGAAACGACCACGCTCTCACAGAATATCAACGTAAAATAGCTTAACGTTGCCGTGTCTCTCTTATGGTGAGTTTAGAGAACCGAATACCCCTTTTACTGAAAACGATGCATGTCATCTTAGTCCTCACGGGTGACAACGCATCTGCATTTTGATTCGTGGTCGATGATAGATGTAGATGTCTGTGGTACACAGCAGCTACTTACTGTTAGGTGGACTGTGTGCTCATTTGTCACCCTTATCCTGTTAAAAAAAAACTAATGTATTTTAACCGCTAAAAATAAAGATAAAAAATATGTGTTGAGTTTCTTCAGCTGTTTTTTCTGTTGTTTCATCTCCGGTCAGAGGAATGGTATTTTAAAAATAGTAGTCGAGTTGAATGATGGCCATAATACAAACAAAATTATAGGACTTTAATAAATAAATATTTCAATTAACCTACCCCCTCGTCTGTCCAAACGGCATATTATGGCGTCTCAAATAATATGCGCATCTCTATCAAACGTGATAGCAAACTATTTGTAACATATATATGATATATATATATATATATATATATATATATATATATATATATATATATATATATATATATATATATATATATATACATATATATATATAACATACATATATTTACATATGTACCTGTTATACTTACTTAGTATTTCGGAAAGTGCTCTACAGATGCGCCATATTGGCCAAAATGACCCCGACATTCGAGTGGCTACGCACTATTCCAGCACTAATCGTACGTTCATTCATATCTGCATAGAGAAAAGGAATTATCTAGAAATACGTTCACATTTGTGTGGAGCTATTTTGCTAGGTGAACGTTTTTGGCCTTGCTGATTAAAGGACCGACGTACGGACAGAGGCTGCGGTGACCTATTTTTTTTTCAAAATCAATTAGAAAGCGATAAAACTAAATTTTACAGTTTAAAATTTAAAATTTTCTAGTTTTTAGTGATGGAAAGTAGGTTGCAAGTATGATGGTATCGGCTCTGAGCTCACCAATGCAACTAGAGAAATATACAAATCTTACAAGTCGTAATCATCAGCCTGCGGCAGTTCGTTACTAGATATAGACTCTTCTAACGAGCACTACATATCCCAATGTTCAGCTATTGCATCCATTTTCAAGGAACTACCCTACGCAAATCCTCTCACCATCTAAGCATGGGACGTCCCACACTACGTATTTCTTTATTTTCCAAGTTATACAAAAATAGTAAATAATAAGTAATACATAATATCTAGTACAGTACAGTACAATTGTGAGCGCTAACTCAGGTGCTTGACGCTCGCTCTAAAATTCACTGAACGGAGGCAACCAGGGTTCGATCTCCACCGGCATCAATGAAATTATAAATTACAAAATACATCGCTGAATATCGGCCTCTCCCGTTTTAATTTACATTAATTGTCTCCCTTGGCAGGCGTGCTGATGATCATAGTAGCAGAACGTATTGAAACTTTACCTTCCTTTTCCCCTTCCCTGTCTGGACATTTTCCGTCACGCATAAATTTCGAATTTATTTTATCGACTGCAAGCTTTTTGTTTGAAGTTATTTTGGCCTTTCTCAAAGACGCCTCTGGCTACACCTACATGAAAATGAAATGGGATGATGAATTTTCTTACGCCACCACCACCAAAACCCGAAAGACACTATGGACTAAAAGGCCCCAATAAGCAAATAATTAAAATCAACTTTCTTTAGGTTAAATAAGTAGTAAAAAAACTAGTTAGTAAAAATATAAATTAGATGCAATAAATAATGATCCCAATTTTATAATTGAAAATTCTAGGTAAAGCTCGTGTTAAGGATTTCGTTGCCACTTCCAGGAAACTGTGTGTTATTTAGTCAGTCTGTTACGGAATGTGAATGGTTATTCAAAGGCTTTATTTACATTATTTTGTTTTGCACACAGGAATGTATTCTAGTTTCGAATACAGAGATCGTGATCCTCGGCGACTTTAACGCCCATCACGCCGAATGGCTTGGTTCACGTTTAACCGATCATGCGGGGAGATCTGTTCATGATTTTGCCTTGGCATATGGTCTGACACAACTGGTTACTTCGCCTACACGGGATGGAGGATATGACCTTTGTTGGACCTTCTGCTGACCTCTCACCCGGACGGATATCAGATTTCCGTCGACGCTCCTTTAGGCTCCTCGGACCATTGTCTGGTCCGGAGTGTGGTGCCACTCACGCTGAAATCGCGGTTGCATTCTGCAGGCTGCCGCCGTGTTTGGCACTATAGGTCAGCCGATTGGGATGGGATGCGGTCTTTCTTTGCATCCTACCCTTGGGGGCGGGTTTGCTTCTCGCCGGATGATCCCAACGTTGTTGCGGATTCTGTTGCTGATGTGGTACTTCAGGGTATGGAACTTTTTATTCCTTCCTCTGTGGTGCCCATTAGAGGCAAGTCTCAGCCATGGTTTGGTCGCTCCTTTAAAATAGCATCATGCTATTAGCAGGAGTGCTACCAAGCCTGGGCTGATGCATCAGCGTCCCGGGATGTAAACACCAGCGCTCTAAAAAAGAAGTATAATTCCGCCTCTAGGTCCTTCAAAAGAGTCATTGCCAAGGCAAAGTCAGAGCACATAGGCAGAATTGGCGAGAAACTAGTTCGCCTTCCTTCTGGAACCCGTGCATTCTGGTCTCTCGCCAAGGCTGTCCAGGGGAATTTCTGTCAGCCATCTCTTCCATCTCTGCACAGGGAGGACGACTCACTGGCCCATACCGCAAAGGAGAAAGCCGATCTTCTAGGCTCTTTCTTTGCGTCTAACTCGACTCTCGATGACGGGGGCAGTATTCCGCCGACCATCCCGCGGTGTGAGTGCTCCATGCCGGAAGTGCACTTCACACAGCGCTCGGTTTGCAAAGCACTCCTCTCCCTGGACATCCACAAGTCGAGTGGGCCTGACGGAATCCCACCAATTGTGCTGAGGACGTGTGCTCCACAGTTGGCACTGGTTTTAACGCGTCTTTTCCGGTACTCCTACTCTCTAGGCGTAGTCCCAAAATCATGGAAGACGGCTTACGTCCACCCGATCCCTAAAAAAGGCGACCGCTCTGACCCGTCCAATTACCGGCCAATCGCCATCACCTCCGTGTTCTCCAAAACAATGGAGTCCATTGTAAACTGCCAGCTCATGAGGTACCTTGAAGATCACCAGCTGATTAGTGACCGCCAATACGGTTTTCGCCGTGGTCGGTCAGCTGGTGATCTTCTGGTCTACCTAACTCACAGATGGGCGGAGGCAGTAGAGTCCGGGTTTGGCACAAAGCGCTTCTTTCGAAGCTCCCTTCCTATGGGATTCCCGAGAAATTGTGCGATTGGATCACCAGCTTTCTTGCAGGTCGGAGCATCAAGGTCGTTGTAGACGGTGCAAGCTCCGATTGCAAGCCTATTAATGCTGGTGTTCCACAGGGCTGCGTGCTATCGCCAACGCTGTTTCTTCTGCATATCAATGACATGTTGCATACCCGTAACATTCATTGCTATGCAGATGACAGCACTGGTGATGCTCTTTACACCGGCCGAGCCAATATTTCTCGGGAAAACGTCTCCGAGTGCCGGGACAAACTTGTGTCTGAAGTCGAGTCTCTGCTGGACAGAGTCCGGATTGGGGGCGACTAAATCTAGTCCAGTTTAACCCCTAGAAGACACAAGTTTGCGCGTTAACCGCATGCGCATCAGCTTGCCTCATGAGCACACATATAACATCCGATACATTCACACAAGCAATATTGCTCCTCGTATTATTAATTTGAGTGATCTAGTTTTGGCAACTCTGGAACTCGATTATCAATAATATTAACAATTTAATATTTTTGGTCGTTATAAATAAAACTACTTTTACGGTTTTTATCCCTTTTAATTTAACTTGTTTTTAAAATTCATAAAAGAAGTTTTAAATTGTATTATAAACAAGTTAATTGTTAGTCGCAATTTGATGCCCTGATTTACAACATACTCTGCGATAAAAGAGTACATAGCGAGAAAACTTTATATAAATATTAAGGATTTCTTATATTTACGCGAACACTATACATTGATTAAAACTACTTTTACGGATTTTATCGCGTTTTATTTATATTAATTTTAATACTGTGTATAGAAAAAAAGAACCATACAAACCGATACTTAAATGGTGAATCTCACCACCATCCTTCACAGTTAGCTACTGTTGGCAAATCTTTGTTACAGAGAGCACGAGGGATCTGTGACAGCAAACACCTGGCCGCCGAGCTTCAGCACGTCAAGCAGGTTCTGCACGACAACAAGCTTTGGGTCCCGCGCCTCCATCACAG